ACGTACGTACGTACGTAACGTAGTACGTTTACGTACGTTACGTACTTACCGTTACGTTCGTACGTACGTAAGTTAGTCGTTACGTTACTAATATATAGTGTAATATATATATATATATATATATATATATATATATATATATCACGAATCATGCTATATATGTTTTGATTCGCACTTGATTACGTCTATGTGTGACTTCACGTTAATAAGTTAGAAACATGATGGTTATAATATCAATTGTGTTAAATGCTTACATGAATGGCGATATACGTGGCATGAATGAATTGGTATATGTACGAAATAATGACATCAAGTTTCCACTTACTGGGCTATGAAGCTCATCCCTTACTTTCACCATGTAGATAGTTAATCCACACTGATGGAGAGCCTACGCCAAGAAACCGTCAAGGCGGATGCTAACCCCATCAAGACGTTAGACTTGTTTATATTTTTGACAGTTTGGCTTTGGGTCGTAGGCCTCTAGGTTGTATATTTTTTTGTTTCTGAGTATATGGTGTATGGGCCTCGGTATGGCCATGATGCCCTTTGTAATGTTCATGATTTTATGGGAGTGATTATGCTTATCTTAGTTCTTGGTGAATGCTCAAATCTTTTTGGTTGGGTGGTTATTAGAATTCTTTTTCAAGCTGTTGAGTACTTGTTTGATACCGGCTTTGATTCAACCTCCATGTTCGATCTCGCACCCTGCGGGCTCGGTGCTGGCCTTTGTGGGCCGGTAGGGGGTGGGGTTGTGACAGTTATATCATGCATAATTTGAAAGTTATTGACAGTTTGTTAGAGAGTGTCTGATCTGTATAGTTATTTTCAGGAAGTTTGCACTTTTGTATGTGGGGGTTTTGAGCAATCAAAACTTATAATCTTGAGTTTGGGCCGAGTTTCTCTTTTGAGGAATTGTATCTAGTTCCATGTAAAATTGGGCTCATAAAAAAATTCCTCATATTTTATGAGAAATGGTCATTTTATCAGAGGTGTGTCAGCCTGTGTTTTCTGGTATACACTGCAAAACTTAACTCTCTGAGACACAAGCTATTTGTGTCCTTTTGGTCCATTATTTCATATACCCACTTAATGTAATTTATTCTATTTTGAGCCTATTATAACTGAGAAGAAGTCCCATGAGTAAATTTTGAATAAATTTAAAGTTATGTCCATATGATTGAATGATGCACATCCTGAAAAACCAAAAAAACTACATGAGCAACATTCTAAGTGTAAGTAGGGTATAGATATCTTATACTCTAATGTAATCCAATTATAGAGAATCAGTTGTTATAAGTTTTATGCCTTCATAGAGTGTATTAAATCAGTGGGATGACTGTATAAATCCCACTGAGTCATGAATATAAGATTTAATACCCGATACCCGAATATTGGTCAAGATCCGAGTTTCTTTCAAAAAGTGTATGATGTTATTCTCAATAAGGCCAAAGATACATTACGATAGATTGGACCATGAGCACAATGACAAAAAAGGGAAAGAGAAGATGAAAATAAATCAGAGATCGAAAGCAAAGGCTTGCCACTCCACAAGACGTAGCTATGGGATCACAAGGTATTATTCCTTACCTTTTTATGCATAACTCTAATATTTTGCCAAATTATTGTTTCAAGAGAAACAAACTTCACTCCATGATTTCTTATGGTTATTGATTGGTGGATTATCTTGGTATAACATATGATGATTAATAGTATCTCTTAGCATATTACACGATTATTATAATTGGAAAGCAAGGGCTAGTCACATAAGCTATAAACTTGAAAAATGTCAATACTTCCATATTGAAATATTTGGGTGCTTGTGCACACTCTAATATGAGTCGATACATAGAATATACATGTATTTTTATTCTAGATCTCTTTTCTCTAATTTAAAATACCAATCCATTGGATGTAGCTAATTCAAGAAAAATAACATATGTAAGAATTATATGTGATTAGATGAGTATTATGATACATGTGGAATGGTTATTGTTTGTGGCCTGTTTTATAACATGCGAACTCTTGAGACGTATCTTGATTATGTCATTTGCATTGACTAATCCTTATGTTGTTTCATGCTCCATGCTTTATACCTTTTTGAGCTTTCATAGATGTCAAGATAATAAAGTCAATTATCATATTCCCCTTTCGTGAATACTTTGTGATGCTTAGATCCCAACATGATTCTATTAAACGATTGGGTAGATATCGATTAAAGGATTCTAAGATGAGCTACAGAATTAGAGGTCAAATCAGGATAGGATCGAGTAATAACAGAAAAAAAGACTAGATCGTATAGGAACGGACACGATCGCACAAGAGTTTTCATGTATGAAATAAAATTTTCCTTAAAGTTGCATGTTTTTCACTATTTTTCAAATTGAGAACAAACCGAATCAAAATGAATCTTATGCAAGGAATGTGATAATTGAGAACAAATCATGAAAGGGAATTTGATTTAAAAACTTGTTTTTCTACAGTTAAACAACTTCAAAATAAAAACAAAAACACTTCTTTTTCTAAACAAGGATCTCCGGATTTCAAATGTTTTAGCAAAAGATGACGTTATAAACCAAAGGAGAACCTACCCCATTTTATGTATTACTATGGAAAACTGGGGTTATGACAATGGAAAACTCCATATTACTTTCACTTTTGGATGATCGCCCTAAAAAGACTCGTTTAGCATTATCCTATGACCACATAATTGTGTATCATAATCTTTTGGAGTCTCTTTGAATAGTGTTCTTTTTTAGACCTTTAAAGTATTCCTTAAAAGAAAGTTGTATTTCCAAAACCGTAAATTCAAGTTATTTTGAAAGACAAGCTTGTTGGTTTTAGTGGGAGCATCATTGATCAATCAAGTAGTAAAACCATCCTCAAAGAAAACCTTGGTCTTGATTTTGGAAAATTTATATCTAATATCAATTTTGCTTATTGAAAATTTTAGAAAAGGCGCTGTATAAGATTGATTTGTGGAAAAAACGTAATGACCTCGTATTTGAAATTGATCTTTTTATAAACCTATGAGCCATTTTCTTCCGCTGCACTATAACTATCATTGTATTGATTTTGCGCCACACTGAAAGACTTGAGTCACTTGGAAAAATGCCGCTTGTGAAAGTTACTGGGCACCTCTATGTTAGACTTTTTATTTTTCAATAATTGATTGGGTAACATTAACGCAATGAATCCCTTTTTGCTTCAGTTGTTCTCAATTTCTAAAATGGTGAAAAATATGCAACTTTAAGGAAAATCTTACAAGAAAACATTTTTTCATGACCAATGAGCCCTACATGCTATGTAATAATCGTCATATACCATTCATAAAAAATTTCTATACTCACTTGTACACATAAGAATTATATTGCATAACTAAGTATTCACAAAATGATAATACAGATCATGACATTATCTTGGCATCTAGGAAAGCTCAAAATAATAAAACATGTAGTTTGAGGCATCATAAGGACTAGCCAATGCTAATGACATATTCAAGATACATCTCATAAATTCTCATGTCATAAAACACCCCACAAATAATAACAATTTCATATATTTCATAATGCTTATGTAATCACAGGTATAACTCTAACATATGCCATATTTCTTGATTTAACCATATCAAACGGATTCGTATTTTGAATCTAAGATCATAGATCTAAAATCAAAATACTTATACATATGTCTTGCGTCTTTAACTCATATAAAAGTGGACACAAACACTCAATTATCTCAATATAGAACTATTGGCCTATTTCAAGTTTATAGCTTATATGACTAGTCCAAGCTTTCCAATCATAATACTCACATAACATGCTAAGATAGAATATTAATCATTAATTATAAGATATCAAAGGCTCAAGATGGTTGTTCTCAGACAAAAGATTTCCCAACATACTAAACTCGTGCATAAAGGGAGAAATAAGGCATACCTTATGTCTAATAAGGACCAAATCATAGTGTGCCAACCCCTTTGTTCCGATCTATGATTTGACTACACCATTTCTTTCTCCCTTTTGTTACTGTACGCATGGTCTCATTTATCCTAAAGTGTATTTGGCTTTGTTGACAATATCAGCATACACTATCCGAGAGTAGCTCAGATCTAGACCAAGACTCGGGTATCGAGTATTAAATCTTATGCACATGGTTCAGTAAGGTTTATACAACACTCTCACTGATCTAATACACCCTATGAAGTCATAAAAACTTCTAACAACTAATGCTCCATAGTTGGATTACAAGAGTGTAAGGTACTCGCACCCTACTTACACCTAGGACATTGTTCATGCAGTTTTTCTAGATTTACAAGATGAGCACGACCCACTTCTATGGGCATAACTTTAAAACTATTCAAAATTTACTCATGAGACATATTCCTAGTTACAATACACTCAAAATGAAACAAATTACATTAGGGGGTAATACGAAATAACTGATCAAGAAGGCCTTGGTCAATTTCTGCACAGTGTAGCAAAAATTGCAGTTTGACTTACTTCTGATCAAACGACCATATCTCATAAAATATGAAGAATTTTTCTATGATCTCAAATTCACATAAAACTAGACACAACTCCTAAAAAGTATAAGTCGGCCCTAACTCAATATCATATGTTTTGATTGCTTAAAACCCCCTAACGCAAAAAGGTGTCAAGTTCTTGGAAACTCATTTCACAAAACTAGCACACTCCAACAAACTGTTAATAACTTTCAAAATATACATGATTTGATCATGGGACGTTTTCCTTATGAAACTACACTCAAAAACACAAAATACCATAGAATATCAACATTTTATATGAAGGTCCTACCACTATGTCTAAACCAGTGAGCAGTTCTCAAAATTGCAAGTCATAATTCTCATGCCATTGACACTATAAATTTTCTAGAATTAAGGCACATACACTTTGGCATTCGTGATCAAGTGCTTACACACTTTGAAAATCATACTTTTAGACCAAACTAAACGACAGAAGGACAATATTAGAATCGTGCTTTGATACCATTCGTTGGTTATATAAGACCAATGAGCTGGAAACTCAATTTATAAATTTTCCACTTTTTTGAAACCATGAAGTTTTGAATACACAAAAGCTTCATAACAAAACTGTAATATACAAATTCCAACCAACCCACAAGCTAGACTTATACAAACCTTAAAAACTAGAAATTACAACTTCAATGGGTCCATTTACAAGTCCCTTACTAAAAATAAAAATAATTCAATACATTATTTAAATACTCAAAATGCTTGTCTTTAAAACACACTACATTATGCATACTCAAAATTCCTCATCCTTTTGAAATTACATGCTGACTTCATCTGCAATCTTCATCCTCATCAAATACCACAGTACTACACATACACCATGTACTTAATCATGATGAGCCAATATGATTTCAAATTTTGAACTTGCATGAACAATATAACATGGCATTAAAAGCTTATACTACAAAGTCATGAGAATGATCATGTTTCTCATATAATATACTCAATTCCTTCAACCATAAGGCATTCAATAACTGTAAATCACAACAAATAAGCATGCAAGCAAACATGGAGAAGTCAAGGTCGACCCTTTACGTCACAATTTAGACCTTCAGGTACTTACTGTTGTCCATAAATGAGTGCATAAGTGGTTTCAATAGCACAAGGAGATCAATCCATTTGGGAAGCTTAAAAAAAAACTTTAAAACCACTTAATAAGGTTCAATTAGAGAGAGTAATATGACAGAGATCAGATTTCGAAGGGAAATAGAGAAATCCAACTCAAAACAATAAAAGTGTGGTCCACCGGTCCACAAAACTTTTCTCAATGCAAAAGGGGAAACTCCAACCCAACAATTAATTCTCTAAAATGAAAATTAATTCACTGATTTTGATGATAAACAAAAGATATGCTCAGAAAAAATCGGATGGAAATAGACTATGGAAAACTAGACATGAAACAAAGAGATTGAGGGTACATAACTTAAGATCATGATGAAGGACCACACTATCCAAGTCAAGCATAGAGATCACTCAAAACTATTGATTGAAAGAGGTAAAAGCTTCTATAAATATAAGTTTACAATAAGCCTTTGAACATGAAAGAGTGAAATTATGAAGAGGAAAACAAAAATTGATTAGTACCTTGATGGTAGTATAAGCTCAACTTGACCTTGAAGAAGGGGGAATACCATATGAGATCAAATGATAATCAAAGATGATCAAACATAAGAGGCAAACGGGGTGGTGTGTGGATATCAATGTAGATCTCTCCTTCTCATTATTAGTTCATAAAAGGCGTTTCTCCAAAATTTGGGTTTTAATTGAACTTTAGGGATATATATATATATGTATATATATATATATATATATATATATATATATATGAAGTGATGAGATTGGAACTGATCTTGACCTTATAATGCAACTCATCTATGGCACATAAGATGCCATAATCCTAATCACTCATCTTCATCGAACCACTTAGATGAAGGGATGAGATTCAACACCATTATCATTCCTTTAAACCCTAATATGAGCCATTTGCCTTCTAGTCCTTGTCCCATGTTTTATTTCCATTTAAGCTCATATTGAAGATTACATAAAGGGAAAAGTTTATATAGAGTCGAGGCTCTAAACAATCAAATTCGAGCCTACCTCAAAAATTTTATTAGAAGAGGTTGTTTTGATGCCCAAATGTCCTCAAATTGATCATCTCAACATCAAGATGCATGGACATGAGAAAAAAAAATGGATTTCAAGTTTTGGATATTGTGTATTTTGTAACGCATTTTTGGACCGTCAATTTTAAAGATTCTCAAGTTTTCATAGATCTCTCGATGTACATTACTTTTTAAGCTTTAAACTTTATAAATAAAGATGGAAATATATTTTAAGGCTATCAAAAAGATTTTCAGAATTGAAACCACATTTCTCGACACTATTTGAAGGTACTCTAATTTGATTGTTTAGAGCCTAGGCTCTATACAAACCGCACCCTTACTTAAATAGCCATGGCTTTTTAATAAAAAAAAGAAAGCACACTAAGGATAAGGGCATCTGCAATTAAGTAATTTAGAACATCCATATGTGTATATAAAATATCTATAACACACAATCAATAGAAATTCACCAATACTTAGGCTTCACATGGCTTAAACCTATGAGATGATGCCATATGAGACACACTCACATGCCATAAAATCTTATGTGGGAAATAATTTTAAATCAAAATAATTCTCAAAAATCTATGGCTTCACATACCAAACGGTGGCCCATGTGAGAAAATTAAACATGTGACAAAATACTTTATTAAGTTATAACAAAATATAACAGCACAATATAACATGTTATAACATAATACCAACAAAAGAGCTAATGACAAAAAGGTCCCCATGTGGCTATGACATCATCAAGGGAAGGTGGGGGTGCCACATTGCATCCCTATATAGCCACATGAGACCATGGTGGCACCCCATCAGATGTCTTTGTTTAGTATTTATGTTCAACAAATTCAAAAAGCCTATTTTTGGTGTTTAAAAAATTCTAAAAATTTTCCAAATATTATCTAAATGATTTCTCAACATTATTACATATTCTCTTATCAATATTAAATTAAATGGACTAAGGTAATAAGATCTCTAGGCTCAATACTAGCAAACAGAGTATTCCATTAGGCTAGTCCAAAATGATGTTTCACCAGTATCTCAAGATGACCCAACAGACCTATGCTCCGAAGTCTATGTCAGGGGCGCATAACTGGCCACATCAAAGTCACTAAGCCAAAGCCTCCCATCATCGAGTTTTCAATAGAATATAGGTACACCCCTATGGGACATACTATTGTTCTAATACAGGGGCCCTCCCAAGGCACATATACACTAGCTCTTCTAAGTCGGATAATACAACAGAAGAGTGGCTTCCCATGCGACTGTAAGTGCACATATCGTGGTACAGTCTCGTATCAGGGTACGGACTCATGTCCATTGAGTCATGACCACTCCACTAAGGACGAATACTTGTAAAATACTCGGGTTCTATTGTACTCAATTGATTCTCGTAATCTTGACCAACCATCACAACCATGAGGTATCCTAATCAATATAACCCGGATTTGGAGGTGACCCTCACACCTCTTTAAGAGATTACTATCTCAAAGCACATGCATCCATTACCTCATGAGCTTTGAGTACATAAATTTAGGCCCTAATGCACCAAGATCCCTGATTCATTCGCTCTCTTACTCCCATTAAGCGAAAGACTATTAGCATTAAGGCCTGAAACGCAACATAACCAACAAATCCGGCTTAAAAGAGCCGGTGCACAAGTGCTTTGAGATGACCCCTATTTTAGGGAACTTATATTCCCATAGGGATACACCGATAATCCAGTGAGAACCAATTATAGAAAACTAAGAGTGATTTGATGTAGTCAATTATGTGTCACTGCCATAAACTGTGAAACATTGGTCCGTTGGGTCACATGGATCACTACTAGAAACTAGCCCAATGGAATACTCCAATATCTAATGTTAACTCATTACCTTTGGTCTATTTAATTTAATATTGATGAGAAAATGTGTGTTCATGGTGAAATATCATTTACAAAAAATTGGGAATTTTTTATCATTTTTCTTGAAATTTTTAAATCACATAAAACGCCATTTTAAATTGTGGGAAGGGGCATTATTGACAACTTATATGTTATTTTTAGAAAATGCTATTTTTAGTAAATTAAAGGGAAAAAGAAGAGCCAGAGAGAGCAAAGAAAAAAGGGAAAAGAGAAAAAGAACCGTGCACCTAAAGAGAGAGAAAGGTAAATAGGTCAAATTTTCCAAAAATAGCATTTTCTTGAATTAAAATGTAATTTCGTATTAATGAAATATGACCAAAATACCCCTCCCCATAATGCAAGAAATGACCAATTGGTCGCCTTTGGAGAAAGCCTAAGTCATGGACACCATTTGAGGTCAATTCGGGGGCTTCCCGTGGCAATTCGAACGATCAAACACCGTAGGATTGTTGCTCGTATTATTATGCATGTTTTGATACCCATTGATCGTCCTGAAACGGAGTTTTAAGTAAGAACCCAAAATCCAGCCAAGTCTATAAACTTTTGATTCTTCGACTACCAATATAGCACGATCACTGACGTTTTGAGAGCTCTTTCTTATCACAAATTGTAGAGAATATTATCACGATCATTTTGTGGTAAAATTCGTTCATTTTAAACTCCATTTGAGCGCATTCCAAATTTGGGAGGTCGTCGAAAAATGGGATTTCGGCTACCGAAAAGTGTGCCTTCTTTAACCTTCAAATTCAGTGTCATCCGACCTCCAATCCCACACAAAAATTATATCAAACTTAAGCCCTTCGAAGCAAGGTCGCAACGAACCCATACTTTCGACGATCCAAAATCAAGATCCCAAGATATCTCCTCTTGAATATGGAAATGTTTCACTTTTCAAGTCTGAAAATTCAAGTGTCGAGCCCATCTTCTCTCTAAAAATTCTCTCGTTTCGGGTCACACCATGATGTGTGTCATATGTCAAAACTAGCGTATTGACGAGATTTAGCTCGTGTCCGAATTTAAAAGTAATTGGACTCAAAATGAGCAAGTTATGAGCATTTAAAATTCACCCCGAAATGAGAAATCACAGTATTCATAAATGGTTTATGGAAACTGGTTCATGGAGGTTGCACCGCAATAGTATAAAACCCACATTTTTTTGGTAAGCTAGACACAGAATGGTCCCGAAGGGTCCAATTGAGCAGAAATTTGGTATTTCCGGGATTTTTCGACATTCCGAATCTAATGGTGGTTGTCCGTTCGTCTAAAACTTGAAAAATATGGTTGTAGTTATATGGTCATTTTTAGGACAATAGGAGTTGTATTTTCGAACCACATTTTGTCCTGATCATCTTAAACTCGTCAGATTGGGCTGAAATTTGGCTAGGATCCTTCAAGCACCCCAAGCCATCATCCTACAGGTTTTGGGGTCATTCTGCCTTTTTTAAAAAAACAACTTTATTTGATCAGTGCTTCCGTAATGCGTAGGCATTTTTTGTACCGGCGAGACCAGATTGCAACAGGTTCCTTCCTTATTCGTGCCGAGGGTTAAGTTAGTCAAAAAATACCCGATAACAATGTTCTTTTTACTCACATGTGCCACTCTGGTATGTGCGAAGCCATGGAAATTTTTTTGAGATTTATTTTGATTTAAAAATTATTATCTACATAAGATATTATAACATGTGGGTGTTTCTCATGTGGCATCACCTCATAAGTTTAAACCATGTAAAGTACAACTATCGAAGAATTTCTATTGGTTGTGTCATAGATATTTTATTCACACATGTGGGCTTTTA